CGACCTCCATTGTTCGTACTGAAGCAGCAAACTGACCATAGCTGATGTCAATTCAAATGCACACGCTACCAGAAAACCGAACTCGAAGAAACTACCGTCAACGGAATTACCCAGTGACGGTTAAATCGTTGTAGCAACGGTTGCGTTTTCGAGGAACATGAAAAAGCAGTTGCAGAGAATGAACGGCTAACATCGGCGCTTTAGTGCTGGCTATGCTTTAGCACGCCAACGAATCGATCAGTAAATCGAATATTAATAAAACATATATTAAGTAGTCAACAAGCAGACGAAGGCGTTTCAAACGCTATCAACGCTTGAACCACGTCGAAGACAGAACTGACGGAGGATCGGCCGATAACCTGACCACCATCCGTCATGACTGCAATCACTGTATGCTGGTGTATGTCCACCGTTTGGCTTTTGATCCTCGGTATTCCTTCTCACACGTTTGCCCTCACGTATTCTTGCAACGGTTCGGTGAAAGTTGACGAGGAGTTGAACAACTCGGTATGGCGTCAGCTGTCGATCAGATACAGCCTGTTTGAAAGCGTGTCGGATCACATAAAGTTTTCACTGATCGTCATTTTTTGTATCCCTGGTATCGTTGGGTCGGTGCTGATGATATTGGTCATGATAAAGAGTAGGAAATGCCAATGTAAACTGACCATCCGCCGGTTCATGGAAGCCATAGCTGCAGCGGACCTTTTCTACTGCGCATGCAGTATTGCCATGCATTCTCTTCTGTTCCTCCATGGCATTGAATCGCCTACTCGGGCAAGGCTATACGTGATCATCGCTGCCTATGTCACCGAATGCATCGCGTCCTGCTTCAGTGATTTGGTGACAACGCTGTTGGCATTCCAACGCTGCATCGCGCTGTTTGCGCCCTTGTTTTGGCGAAGCAGGAGTGATCAATGGAAAGAAAGGTTCTGTGGTGCGGGCATTGTCTTTTGCTTTGTATTGAGTATGTTCAGGTGTCACGCCTTTAGTAATTTTAAGGTCCAAGCCACAGACCGCTACGGTGTCACAGAGAGTTCTTACATTAACATTTCGACCATTACAATGATGAACGGGAAAATGGATACGTTCAACCTATTCACGTTCTTAATTTTGCCCCTCATTTTAATATTTCTGATTCTGCTTTTCCATACCTCCGTCATTTGGAAGATGAAGCATCGCCATCGAAACTCGGTATCGCCCACTGGTCAGTGGCCAACTTGCAGCATCAAGGATGTGAACCTGACGGGGCGCCCTATAGCAAGCAACACAGCTTTGGGTTCCCTGCAGAGTAACGACCTCGGAAGAGAAACGAAAGAGAAGGATTCAAAAAATATGCGATTGTTGGTTGCCTCACAGTCCACTTCCGCCGTATTCTGTCAGGTCAGCTACATCGCCCAAAGCAGTATAACGTTGGCAGGATTCAACGTTGCAAATGTCGAACTCTGCAACAGTAAAGCAGCAGGTTTATGGAAAATAGGACTCGTGATTTTTCCGATCACGTTTGCCACTGAATGCCTTGCCAGATCATCGCTGTTCTACATTAACCTCATGTTCAATAAACATTTTAGGTACGAGGTAGTACAATCGCTTTTTTCCCTCACACAAGTGGTTGCTTGCAAGCCATCCTCATTGGCGGTGTAACTGCAGTCAATGGCACTTCTTGTACAATAGTTTGGCGTTTGACAGAGGCCTTGCTGCCTTTCTGAGTAGAATATCTAGAATTCGGTAACGTTAATGTAAACTAACCTAGGATATGTGTTTCGCTGTAAGCGTATGTGGTGAACTGCTGAATATTGTATTTCTATAATGGTTTTGCGATCCAGTGGGAAGACATCGGTCAATGTAATAAATACGTTGTAAAATTATTATTGTCACTGTTTTTTATAGCCATCTGAGGCAAACAGAGCCTCAACAGTAGAGTAACCCATCAGATTCTATCATATTTGGGGTTGAACTGTACTGTGAATGCAAATGATTCATCCTACAGACAGCGTAGCGAAGACGAACAATGAAACTCGTTATAAAATGATAACTTTTCTAAGAATTACCTGTTGCCTGACGATCAGGCCAATCGGTTCTCACTTGACTTGTAAATGGCGGATGGGATCAGCTGCAGTCTAAGAATATTCAGTTCATTCGCTTTGGCGCAGTGATGAACGTAAAAGCAGGAGGGTTTGCAACCGTTGGGATGTCGATCTTCTTTACACTTTCATGATGTGACCATTTCATGCCTTCTGTCAGGAATGCCCTATTTCAAGCAGAGAGTCGGCAGAATAAATGAGGCAAACATAGGGTGTATTATTCTGCTTCCTCCAACGAGGGCGAGTGACCAGTTCGGTGCTTGAACCCGGGACCTATCGGTTTCAGCTCTGAGAAGACTGACATTTTACAGACTGAAAACCCCTGGCCTGAAGCGACCTGAGGCAAATTCCTTGCTCAAGGGAATTCATGGTTAACCTTG